TATTCAAACTATAATTGTGCATTGCCGACCTCATGAAATGCTAAGAGCACTTGTCAATGAAATGTTTCCGCTAAAAACAAAAACAAATAATTCCTTACATAACACTTTAAAACGCTTGCAGTTACATAGTACTACTACTATCTCTGTACATACATACATATATATATATATATATACATATATATATATATATATATATATATATATGTGTGTGTGTGTGTGTGTGTGTGATGCGCATATATGTATACACACACATATGCACACACACACACACATATATATATGTGTATGTGTATGTGTAAAGAAAGGGTGTTTTTTTATTAGTCCGAGTGATTTTTATTATTATTTTTTTTTTTGTTATTCTTTGTGGTTTGTCTTAGTTTGAGTAGCCGAGAGGTCAGAGCACATCAGATACAATGATTGTTTATCATAGGGGAAAGCAGGTTCGAATCCTACCGGAAAAGCGTATATTTTTCTCTAACAAGATTTGATAATTCAGAGGCCGGTAGACGAATAAAAATAAATATTGAGTTTAATAAATAAACGGAGCGTCTACTAAAATACAAGTATCCACTAAAAATAACATTTAAGTAATATATATATATATATGTGTGTGTGTGTGCGTGTATATATAATGAAAAGTCCGGCAATAATTTTAATATATTTCCTATATATACGCTATTTCTCATAGATACAAATATTTAAATAAATGCTCTGTTTAAAATAAACTATATTGACCATTCTGAATATCCGAGAAATTTTCATAGAAAATATGCATCCTCTGACAGGAATCGAACCATCATCCTACACGGAACCGTCATACGACCTGGACTTGTATACCATGTAGAGAATTTACTTAAATATGTCTATCTATAAAATAACATATAAGCAGAAAATATATTGATATGCACACACACGAGATATATATATATATATATATATATATATATATATATATATATATATATATATATATATATATATATATATATGTGTGTGTGTGTGTGTGTGTGAAAATATATAGAAAATAGGAAGGAACTGGTTAGGTAAATAATCCAAAGTTCTTTAGTATTTTAGTTATTATTTTTTAAAATAGTGCTGATACAAAAGTAGAGCATAAATATAATTATTTATTTAAAAATATGATTCCAACTCATGACATAAGAGGTCTCATGTTTCAAAACAAGAGTCGAAAACTTCAATATAATTATTTGAATTAAATTGAGTTAAAGTAAGCTCTGTTCCATCTTCAAATAATTTTTTTTGAATAACGTATTTGAAATTTACGTGTTTTAATAATTGAAATCCAAATTTCCATGGTAACAGCTAGGGCGAATTGTTTAAGTTGGGTAGGCGTGTGTTGGGTGTTAATAATAAGTATCAGTATCAGAGTTACTTTCATAGATGTCAAGTCAGGGAACGGTGGGGGTGTCTAAATTTGAAACGGAAGATGTATTAACCCTAGTCTGGTATGCGTGTCTATGGAGAGTTATTTATTTATATATATATATATATATATATATATATATATATATATATATATATATATATATATATATAATAAATGTAATAAAGCAATACTATATTCATGGGTTAAAGTGCTCAATATTAGGGATAGATCGTATATAAATACTGACATTGAAGTCAACACCTGACCCGACAGTGTGTGTTCATAGTAAACGCAATTGCCATATATATTTCTTTTTCGCTGTCTCTATTTATATGGGTGGAGTATATATGTATACACACACACATATATATATATATATATATATATATATATATATATATATATATATATATATATATATATATATATATATATATATATATATATATATATATATATATATATATATACAAACTACACACGGAAAACGCATACGCACACACACAAAAGAGGATAAAATCAACTTAACAACAATAAATACGGCATGAAATGTGAACATCCGAAGTCAATTGCTGAAACCTCCTGACGAGTGGACCGAACGATTGCAAAAAGGCACATTTATGAAACTCTGGAGTCGAGATACTGAATATAAATTTTATATTTGTGTGTGTTTGTGTTTTTGTATGAACGTGTGTGTACAAAGTAACTTAAAAGTTGTTAGTTCTTGGCCGCTACACTCATAGAAGTCTTAACAATTTTGTAAAATCTTCCTGTATAAAAGAAAATATTGCAAAAATAAGAACAAAAAAAACCCCAACATTTATCAAAATATATGTTTCTTGTTGCCAACATATAAATAAAATTATATGTTTTTAAATAAAATAAACCTTTGTTTTTTGTTTTTGTTTTTTTTTTGTTTTTTTACATCTGTTGATATATGTTAGAATATAACACTTCATTGAAAACTTGGTAAACATTTTCGTTAACACACACATACACACACACACATATATATATATATATATATGTAAAAGGAGTAATATATATATATATATATATATATATATTCCTCTATAACATAAATATAGAGGTATCTATATAACAGCATACATATATGAACATATGTCCATGTACGCAGACACACACATATGTACACATATTCGACATGATTGACTGGAAAATTGTGTGTTATTTGGTTTTTAGGGAGTGAGTGAGTATGATGTGTGTAAGCGTGTATATTACTATGGGTGTGTGTTAGGGAGTGAGTATGATGTGTGTATGTGTGCATATTCCTGTGGGTATATATATATATATATATATATATATATATGTGTGTGTGTGTGTGTGTGTGTGTGCGTGTTTGTGTGTGCATTTAAATGTTTTGCATTAGATTATGTATATATTAACATACGAAATTGTTTCTACCAGTATACACGAACACACACGGACATACACACGGACATACACACGGACATACACAGACACGCATATAATGTGTGTATGTGGATATTACTCTGTTTGCATAAACATATCAATGTTACACTTACATGTGAGAGACTCTTCGTTGACATGAGGCATCAAACATTATGAAATGTATATATATATATATCTATATATCTATATATATATGACAATAATATCAATCAGCTAAGTGAGAAATTCTATTTGTATTAATGATATATATATATAATACATATATATATATATATATATATATATATATATATCGTATATAATCTATATATATATATATATATATATATATATATATATATATATGTACATATATATAACGTATATACATTTGTGGGGTGGAGTGTCGGGTGTACGGGTAGAAATTACTAACCTCCGGCAATGGTTGGCTGCAGATGCTGAAGAAGACCTCCCGATTCGATCGCCGTCATCGTCGTCATTGTCATCATCATCATAATGTTCCACGTCCTCATCATCGGCATCATCATTGCCATCCTGATGACTATGGTCGTGATGCTGCTGCTGCTGCTGGTGTCGGCCTTCCTGGTGCCTAATTTGGTGTTGATTATGGTGATTGAAATAGAACTGACAGAGATCGTGGCCGGCGTTCGTTAATCCCAGAAGGTGGTTGTTTTTGCGTTGATTGAATTGGTCCTTCCCAACGTCCACGGCGGCGGCGCCGGCGTCGTAGCCGCGGCCGTCGGCGGCGGCGGCGGCGGCGCCGGCGGCGCTGGCGTTGTTGCTGGTGTTGGCGGCGGCGGCCGGGACGACGACGGCGGCGGCTACGTCGACGTCAGCGACGTTGGTTAATCCATGGGCTCTTCGACCTAGCCCCGCCACGCCCGACGTAACGTCATCGTCCGTAGCGTCATCCTCGTCGACATCCACCGCGACAAATCCCTGGTTTCTCAACGCCGCAATTGTGTCCACTATGAAGCTGAAATCTCAGGTATTATTGCAGCCGTGTTAGCAGCAGCAGCAGCAGCAGCAAACAGTTGGAGTAGCAGTGCAAATAGCAACAGCAGAAGCTGTAATAGTAACAGTATAACCTCTTATAGTATTGTCGATTATCGTGTTTTGTTGGTAGCAGTAGTTGTGATGGTATCTCGAAAGTAGTAGATGTTGTAGTTCACAAGACATAGAAGTGTCTGTCGAACAGTAGTTGCATAAGTCTGGTTGTTACGACTGGGTACAGTGGGTGGAAAATACAGTGTTGTGATGGCATATGCAACTATGAACGTGAAAGTAATGTTAGTTAAATCAGTTTTATGCAAGTGTTATTTATTTATTTATTTTCTTTTTTTTGGTAACTCTTTCTCTTTTATTTTTTTTCGTTTCATTTCTGCTTGCCGATTACATCTCTCGTTCTCATATCTCTATCATTTTAAAAAAAAAATTAGATTCTATTAATATATTCTCCACCGACAACGTCCGATCTTTGTTGCCTCTCATTTTAACGTATTTCTCTTCTCTGTTTACCGCTTGTATTCCCGGTGTTTACCAAACAAGATTTTCCATTCTTTATTTTTCTGAAACCTTCAGTCAATCTTTCAATTTTCTCTTTCCTTATAATCATCCCAAACGTCTCTTTCTCGTGTAACTAACAGCATTGTAGCCATCATTAAATGATGTATCAATAATTAAATGATATATCCATCATTTTTAGCTCTTTTTTTGTGGGGAGGTTTGCTTATTTTATTTTTTTTAATATATTTCTTTTTTTATTTCCGGGGATCAGTCTGATGTGATAATTAACTCTTTCAAGACCTTATTTATGTCTCATAATTTTCTGTAAGTGTTCGCTTCCGATTCATTCGTGACTTCCATATTAACGTATTTTTTTTTCTTCCCTTTATTACGATTCATCAGTTCGCGTTCCGTAAGAATGACGTTCTCTATTTCTTCTTCTTCTTCTTCTTCTTCTTCTTCTTCTTCTTCTTCTTCTCTGTCGTTTTTTCTTTCTTCTTCTCCTTGCCCCCTCTTTCCCTACCCTCTTCCCTCCTCTTTTATATTTCTCCTCTCTTTCTCCCTTAATGCTTCCTCTGCTCCTTCTAATTTCACAAAAAACATCATTTCACCCCAAAGGAAAAAATAAATAAATAAATAATAAAGATATTGAAACGCAATGGGTTACTGAATGTGGAAGAATATTCTTCTTTCTTTCTTTCTTTCTTTCTTTCTTTCTTTCTTTCTTTCTGTCTTTCTTTCTGTCTTTCTTTCTTTCTTTCTTTTCCACCGCCTCCTTCTTCTCCTCCTTCTCCTCCTTCCCTTCTCCTACTTCTTCATTTCCCTTACTATTTCTTCTTCGTTACTCCCGCTTAATTTTTGCCTTGCTTCCATTCTTCTCTCTTTCTTCATTGTTTCTCTTTCTCTTTCTTTTTCCTACTTTCTTCATCCCGTCCTGAAGTTCCCGTTTAGTCTTTCTTTTTTTTTTTTTGTTCATTCTTTAATTCTTTCTTACTTTCTTTTTTTTTTTAACGCTTTCAATTACTCTCTCTGCCTTTTATTTACTTCTCCTCATCCTGTTCCTCTTTTTGCCCTCCCTTCCCGCCTCTTTTTTTTCCCTGCAGTATTTATCACTTCTTTCTTCTCTCTCTCCATCCACTTTCTTCTTTCTGGTTTGCATCCTTCTTGTTTACTAAACCGGTTTCTCCTGCCCCCACTCTCCCTCTCTCTCTCTCTCTCTCTCTCTCTCCCCCTCTCTCATGTTTTTCTTTTTTTTTTATATCCATCTTTTCCACTGTTTACATCATCAGCGAACAGCATCAACATAACGGTTTCATTCCCAGGTGGTTAA